TCCCCTGTGTCTGAGGTTCACGGTGTCTTCAGCAATAGAGACTTCTACCTCTAGGAGATAGCAATCATCTACAATGCTCCGGGAGTCTCTTGGGTAACCCTGACCAAAAACTCCAAGGGGGCCCTTTGGGACCCGAGACCTAGCTTTCACACTTGGGGCTCTGGGATGAGCCTCACAGCCCCACACACTGCCAGTCTGCTCTCTGCTTTTGGATCTGCTGAAGGCTGGGCCTCAGCCAGCATGAACTTCCTCACGAGGGCAGACCACGTCTTCTGAATCCCTGAGGCCAGAATGAGCCCTCCCCTCACCTCACTGCTCTCGGGCATCGTGTCACAGTGAAGAGAGACACAAGTAACACAGTGGTTGAGCATGGCATTGAGTGCCCATTTCCTAGATGGGGAAACTGAGGAGCTTGGGCAACGCAGCTGTGAAAGATCGGGTTTGGGGGCCAATTCTAGAGCCACACTCTCAACGGTGATGCTCCTGGGGGCGGATGGCAACAGTGAAGTGAGATGGGGTAGCCAAGATGTCTGTGTCCTCAAACCCGCACCCCACGGACGGCACGAGCCTTATCTCACAGAAGGTGACACCATAGAATGTCCAGCGATTCCCCAAGTGTGTCATCATCCAAGCAGTGTAGCAGCAGCCACTAGCCATCAAAGATAAAAAAAAAAAAATGATTGGAGTTCATTAGACCCCCAAATGTCATCCTCCTCTGTTTTTATTTATTCTGTTTTTATTCATTCAATGAATGCTTTACTGAGCATCAGCCATCCCCTCTGCCAGCGTACGGCCAACAGCTGGAGGAGAGGACACACTGCTGTGTGTGTCCCCACAACACCTGCCCCAAGGGGCTCGACCTACAACAGCACAGTGCCCACAAGGACACTGAATCCACGGTGCCCACACTCCATGCCCCCTGCCCGGAGATGGTGGGATGATTGTGAGTAGAATCCTGTGGAATCCTGTGGAATGTCTCGTTGACTCATCCTGTAGGTCTTTGGCGGGAGTGTCAATGACTCGGCCGTGTTAGGATCAGTGACATGACTGTGACAGAGCCCCCTGATGAGCCACTGAGAAAACTGTGTAGCGTTCTGGTGGTGTCTCATCTAAGATGCTGTCCTGGCTGTGGCTGTTGCCTGCCGCCTTAGGCAGGGAGCTGGGAGAGCATCTCTTGAGCTCTCACCTGGGCTCTTCAGTCGATGGCTCTTCTGGACCAGCAGGTGTCGCTGTTGAGAGGCAGAGGGCTCGTGCGAGTACCAAGCTCACTACTAGAACCTCCCTTGTTGGATTTGTGCCGTGGTTGTCAGCTCTGCTTCTGTCCTCAGTTTCCCTACCTCTCAGAAACAGCTCAGGCCCGTGTCAGCGGTAACTTTCTGTGTGCATCCAAAGCTCACAGAGGCTGTCGTTCCAAGGCAGGCCATGCAGCTGGTTCTGGGATGGCACTCAGAACCTCTGCCGAAGGATGCTGCACAGCACAATCCCTCCCTCACAGGCCACAGCTGGAGGTGGCGGCTGCAGCAAGGGACTCGGAGCATGTGTCCTGGTTGCATGCGTCATGAGCCTTGGTTGTTCGGTCACTGGCTTGGTGGATTGTAAGAGCAACCCAACATGGCCTAGCCTGTTCAAGACAGGGTGGGTGAGAGCAGGGGTTAGGGGGAAGAACAGAATCCAGAATTTCTCAGACAAGGCCTGTTCATTACAGGATGGGGTTGGGCTGGGCTGGGGGAGGGGCAAAGGATGGACTCAGCTGAGCTGGGAAGCTCAAGGGTGAGGCTTGGTATGGATCCAAAGGCAGAGGGAGAACAGCCTAGGCTGAGGGTTGCTGGGAGTCACCACTTAAGGACTATCACAGCTTGATGTTAGAGAATAAATTCTTTCTATTCAGCTCTCACAAAACACTCTTCAGGGTACACAAAAGCCTGCCTTTACCATCGCCAAGGCTTTCACTGGCTGTAACAGACCTGGCCACATGGTGTCCAGCTGGCCCCACAGCAGGCTTTTCCTCCTGCTGCTCCAGGGCCCTCAGTAGGAGGCAGATTGCATTTAGATGTCCCCAAAATGGCAAGAAGTAGCTCTGACTTCTTCCCCAGCCTTGCAGAGTGGCCTGGGCTCAGGCAGAAGGGCGCTTTAGAAGACCGCAGGATGAGTCACTCGGGGAAGACTCTCTTCTTAGGGGGAACCATGGGTAGGAAGGGGAGATAGCCATGCAGGCCAGCACACAGTTCTCGGAAGATCTGAGCCTTGCAGGTAGACACTTGTCACCGAGGACATGTGACAGAGGTCAGCTCAGCTTTCCCTGGAGAACTTAGTTGCTGCATGAAGGTGTTCGTGTGTTCTGCCTTGGGATTTTGCCCCCATCGTCCAGAATGGTAGCCATCAGCCTCTCAGGGCCACTTACACTTCAATGCATTAAAATTAGTTACAATGAAAAGCAAAACACAATGAAAAGAACCCAGCCCCATAAACCACATTTTCAGTGTTCTGTGGCCCTGTGTGGCCAGTGGTCATGCTGTGGAGCACCGCCAACATCGCTGTGGATTCCGTTGGCCAAGCTGGAGGTGGGGGTGCTTTCAAACAAAGTTGGGGTCTTTCCCAGCCTGACATTTAGGAGCCTGGATTGTATGCCACCTCTGTCTTCGGCTGAGATGAGGACCTGGGCTGGGGGGGTGGGGTCTGAACTTCGAATAACCTCTCAGCTACCCCCTTGCATGGACTCCCCCCAGGACTGTGAATTGCGTCACTGGCTAATGGTTTCCTGAGCAGAAGAAAGCATTCTAGCAACACTAGATGTTTGTCTACCGATGCTGTCTTGCCATTCGCCGAAGGATGCTTTCCCAGTGGCCAGGGCAACACTCATTCTGGGCACTGCACAGCTGTCTTGGGTATCCAGATGCAGTGGGTGTAGAAGGGTGCGAGATACCCACAGAACCTTCTACAGGTGTCCATCAGGTGTTCTACAAGTGGCTGGAGAGAGTTAGTGGTTAAGAACCCTGGCTGCTCTTGCAGAGGACCTGGGTTGGGTTCCCAGCACCCACATGGTTGGTCACAACAGTCTGGAACCCCACTTCTAGGGGATCCAACACCCTCTTCCGACCCTCACGAGGCACACACATGGTATACACACACACATACAGGGGAGCAAAACACCCCCACACATAACGTGAAAAACAATGCCTTTTTAAAAATAGTGTCCAGAAAGTGGCCAGACGGTAGTGGGGTTGGGACGTTGATTCTGGTGATGCCGTGGCCGTGCTTATTGTACCCCTGTTTCCTCCTCTTTCAACTCATCCCTCTCTACCCAGTTCCTTTGAGATACAAATCACACCTGGGAGGTCAGAGGACTGTCATGATCTTGGGACCAGCCTGGGAATCACAAGGGGTTCCAGGTCAGCCTGGGTTAGAGTGAGATCTTGTCAAAAGCGAACGGAGGTCATAAACGAAATCCTTCCTCCCCCCCCACCCCCCCGCACCCACAGGAGCACTACCCACGTCTCATTATGCCATGCTTGCCAGCTGACTTAGAAGCTGAAATCTGAGGCCCCATGTGTTCACATGACCTCCCCAGCCCCCCACCCCCATCCCTGTGTTAGCTTCCTTCCCAGCCCCATGTTGTACCTTTGTGGCCTTCATCACTGTTGGGGACCATCTCCTTGTTTGCACTCTGGCTATGCCCTGTCATCCCCCCTGGACTGTCCACGTCATGGGGGAAGAACATGATTATTCTCTTCTTCAGTTTATGCCCAGGTTTTGGCATAAACTGACCTCCAATGAACACCAGAGAGAAGTAATGGTCTTGTGTAGGGGCTTACCTTTTTTCAGCCTCAATTTTCTCACCTGTGAAATGGGAGCCCACCACATGATTTTCTAGGATGATGATAAACAGAAGCAGTTATGGATGTTGCACAGCATATAATGGGCCCCAAATGAACAGTTACCATGGTGGTGGAAAGCAGGGGCCTGGGGATGTAGCTCATTGTCAGAAGACTTGCCTAGTACCTGGGAGGCCGTAGGTTCAATCCCCAATACAGGAGACAATAAGTAGAGAGTTCGATTCTGGTGTCCTCTTACCTCCACCCCTGAGGAAACTGAGAAACAAGCTGCTAATATGATGTCCTATGAGTACAGTAGGTCACAGATCAAGGTCATGACAGGACCATCAGTACAATGTACTGTCTCTTGAGTCTCTTTCAATCTGGAACATTCCTTAGTCTTTGTTTGACACTTGTGACCTGGACCAGACACTGTTTGGCTTTTGTAAGAGGGTCTTGTGTATTCCAGGTTGGCTGTGAACTCACTCTTGGCTCTGTCTGGGTACTGGGGCTACAAGCACGTGTCACTGTGTCGTTTGACTTGGACAGTTTACAAGGGAACAGGTGCCACTGCCTGGAAACCGCCCCCCCCCCCCGTGTGTGTTTGTCTGTTTCTGTGTGATTATGTCCCAGCTGGTGCATCTCTGAGGAGAATGGCAGGAGAGAGATGTCTTGTCCTCTTGGGGTCCTGACAGGTGGCCTGTGATTTTTAGATATCCTGTCACTAGTGATGGTCACTTTGATCTCCTAATTAAGAGGTGTGTTGCACAGAGGGTGTCATGGTGAGGATTTCTTTCCCAGCAGTTGAGGGCACTGGCTGCTCTTGCAGAGGACTTCAGTTGGGTTCCCAGAAACATATGTTGGCTCACAGCAACCTGTGACTTTAGTTCTAGGGGATATGATGCCCTCTTTTGGTCTCTGTAGGCACCAGGCACTAATGTGGTGTACAAACATACATGCAGGCAAAGCACTCATACATGTTAAAAAACAAAACAAAAGTCTTTGAAGCTAATCTTTCTTTTCTTCTTTTGAGACAGGATCTCACTATGGAGCTCTGGCTGTTCTGGAACTCACTATGTAGACCAGGCTGTCCTCAAACTCACCTGCTTCTGCCTCCTGAGTGCTAGGACTAAAGGCCTGTGCCACTGCACCTGGCTAAGGCTAAATCTTTTATGAGCCATCAAATGTTCACTTCATTTATTCATTTATGTATGTGAGAAGAGAATTGTTCTTTGCTGTTTCATTGAGTGGGTTGTAATCTGTTGGTACTGTCATTAATTTTGATGCTTAAATTGCCTCATTGGGCAGTGAAGGTCCCTTCAAGCTTTCTTGTCTCTTGACTTCTGTGGTTCTTTGAGTACTCCTTCCTTCCTGGAGCAAGATGGTCCTTTGCCTGAAGAATCATTGGCATCAGGCCTCTCAAGGGAGTCCTGCTTCAACTTAGCAGAACATACCTAGAACAAAGATCTTGGTGTCAGATGTCTTTGCTGCTATTGGCATGTCATGACAGGCCCCCCAGTGGACAAATGCAGTGTGTGTTTGTGTGTGTGTGTGTTTTCTACATGTCCTTTCTCTAGATGAAAGTCTCGTGGATGACGAACTCCTGCTTCTCTCTCTAGCTCCTTCAGTCCACCTCCTTTCAGGGATGGCTGAAGATCTGTTATCCTCCTTAGATTTCATCACTGGACTGTTGGAACCATTTTCTTGTTAGAGCTGCCCCAGTGGCCATCCTGGTCTTCCACCTTGCTAGGGGGCTCAGGTGTGCATCTCATCCCCATCCCTCCAGGGTTTGGATTTGCTATTGTGGCCACTGCCCTGGTTGTGAGTTCTCTGGGGAGCTGCAGGACAATAGAGTACACAGGCTGAGCCTCTCCTGGTGGCCTGGCCTGATCTGTTAGGAGGCCTGTCTTAGAGGCCTGTGGGTGCATTTAAAAATATATATATATATTCATAAGCTACTTCTACCCAGTCCCCTCTCAGAGGTCAAAGCCATTAAAAGGCCCTTGACAATCATGCAAGAGCATTCAGAAATGGATGGCTGATTCCAAGGGCCATGTCATTTATCCTCCTCCCCCACAGAAACCTACGGGAGGAGAAATGTTGCAGCTGAAACGAACCTCCATTTGCTTTCTATAAAGAGGAAAATTAGCTGCTCTAATAATCATGAATATTAATGTGCAGCCAATTTCACTCAATTAAACTGATGACTATAATTTTGCCTTAGCACTTTTTATTTCGCACTTCACAGGGGCCATTTCAGTGGTGCGCAGTGTGTGTGGGTGCTTTGACCCAGCCACAGGTTCGGCTTAGCTCCCTCCCTCACCTCCCACTCCCCCCCCCCCACTTCCTCTCACAACGGACAGACCCTCTCCTGTCGGCTGCACCCTTCTCCTGGACGCGTCGCGATTGTCCAGCTTACTGACCTGTGAGTGGTTTCTGTCTGGCTGTGAGCAACAATGCCTCTGCGTGGTGGTGCTCATTGCCACACACACTCCCTGGCCACAGTGAATGAGCCACCAGGGACCTCCAGGGGAAGGGTGTTTTCCTGGAAAGTTGTGCATTGTGATGGAGAATGAGAGCTGAGTGGTGCTTTGGGTGTGTGGGCTGCCCTGCTGGCTGCTGTCACAGGAGTGTGGGAGTGCAGAGAGAAGCCCTGCAGGGCAGGTAGGGAGGGAGCAGCATCTGCTGCCCACTCCTCAGGGCTCTCCTGAGTCCCAGGCCTCTCCATACACTTTTGCATCTTTGTAACAAAGCCCTGGTTTGTTTCTTTTTAAGACCATTCAATGTATTATTTAAAAAGGTGTGAGTGTGTACGTGTGTGTGTGTGTGTGTGTGTGTGTGTGTGTCGCCATGCCTTTGCACCACCATCACAGCCTCTAACCCTCTGGAACCAAAAGCCGAATAAACACTCTCTTTCATAAGTTTCCTTGATTGTGGTGGCTTATCACCACGATAGAAAACTAGCTAAGACACCGGGCTATCTGACCCATGAGCTTCTGGGTGATTCTCTGGTTTGTTTCTGCCTTTCATCTTGCTGTAAGCATGCTGGGATTGCAGAGGTGTACCATTGCCTCTGACTGTTGGATTCTGGGGCTCCACTCTCAGGCTTTCAGGCTTGCTCAGGTGCTGAGCAGGGACACTGGGTTACATCTGACCGGGACAGCATTTTTTGAGGTCTATCGAGGGAAACCCCGGGCAACTCAGAGAAATTCCAGAGTTGGGAGGTCTGGATTCTGGCTGTAAGTCCGGTGCTTCAGCCTGATGAGCTCCCCTCCCCTCCTCCCGCAACAACAGGCGTGGGGGTAGTTCAGTCGGCCTTGAGATTGAATGTGTCTTCGAATTGTTTGGTGATAAGCTTTAAAAGTATAAGCCAGGACTCAAAGCCTGCACAGAGTGATTCTGCAGGAGCAGAAAGAAGGTTCCAGGAGCTGGGAGGCTGCTCCCTCCCTCCCCAGCAGGCTTTGGGAAACTGTGAATTCACATTGATGACAAAGGTCTCTGTTGGTAGAGGGAACAAATACAGCCCCCACCTCCAATATTCCGCTCTCTGGAGAAGCGAAGACTAACTGTTCCTTTCCTCCCTCCCCTTCCCTTCTCTCTCCCTTACCTCACTACCTTCCTCCTCCCTCCTCCCTCTTGGGTCCTCCTTCCTCCAGCAGCTTTCCCCGTCCTCGGAGCTTTCCATGGTCCTGAAGCCAGCCGGGCGTCTTTTTATCAGCTGTTCACAAAGGTGGTGGAACAGTCTCCTCTCCCTGGGAGTTCTCCCCACTTTTCCTCAGCTCTGTGGAAGAAGAATGCATGCTCTTCCAGTCATGTTGCCAGTACGTTGGTTGCCATAGCAGCAAAGAGGGAGGATGAAAGCCAGGCGCTCACCTAAGTGGAATTAAAAGCCACCCTCTTAAGGAACAAATAATGGTTCCAGGAGGGCCCTGAAAACTGGAGAGCATTGTTTTTTGTTTTTTTTTTTTTTTTTTCTGGTGGGATGAGGTTCTGGGAAGGAGAAGGTGTGGGCTGGGGGTGGGGTCTATAAGGGCTTTTCACAGGGGAAAATGCATGATGGAGGTACCAACAGAAATGACACCTCACAGTACCACCTCTCTTTAAAAATGGTGACATATTTCAGAATGTCGGTGGAGTCTATAACTATAGGCTATATAAGGGGGGAAAATCAGAAGTTATTTGAATGTTGTCTACAGGAAGCCTCTTTGTTGACTGGGCCTTCTCCTGGTCACTTGGCTAAAGCAATGCATAGACCATGACCCCCTCCTCCTCCTCCCAAGAAAGCACTGGTTCCTTATCCTCAGTGACAGTGACAGCCTACAGAGTCAGCCCTGGGCTGACCACAGTCACAGTCACTTCTGGGGACAGCATTCAAGAGCAAATGGTGACTGCGATGGCCAAAGAGCTGTCATTTTTTTTTTTTTTCTGACTAGAGAAGGAATGTGTTTCAGCACAGGCAATTTCCCTTTTCTACCAGCAGGAAGGGCTGTGCTTATTTACAAAATCCCAACGATTAGTTTTCTGCCTTATAGACCCATAAGGCAGCCTGAGATAGTGACTGGCTTGAATAGTCTCTACACTTTACAGAAGATGCATATAAGGCCCAGAGAGGCGAAGTAGCTCTCGAGAGTTCACACAGTTAGGAAGTGCCACACTTGAGATTTGAACCCAGCTCACCTACCATTCCAGGGAACCCAGCTTGCTTGAAGCCAAAGGGGAGGCACTCTAGGGACTTTGCCAGTCAAGAGTATCTTTGGATCATAGAGACTTGCAGAGAGAGGCTTTGCTTTGCAATAGCTGCTCAGTACACAGTGAATGGCTGTGAGCCTCAGGGTCATAAGGAAAGCCTGGCTTCATCCGGTCATCCTGGAAAGGATAGTTTGTTAGTTTGTTTGTGTGTTTGATTTTACTTACCCTCTCACACGCCGCAGGGCTGGGTGGTGATGCTGGCTTGAGAATTAGTTTTACAGCCCTCTGAGATGCCATGAGAGACAAGAAAAAGGGTATCACCAATAGTTGTGCTAACATGGAAGAAATCTCCGGGGCCCATCCTCAGACAAAGGACCACAGCCAACTAATGACTTCTGAAGAGGGAGAATTAGTCCTTCCAAGAGACAAGCCTCCTCATTGGTTCTCAAACACCAAGTCGTCACCCCTGAAACCACACACACAGTTAACACTAAAAGATCAGCAGATTGGATTTATATATTCGTGTGTGTGTGTGTAAAACAATAATAATCAAAAAGAGGCCATGAACTTGAGAGGGATGAGGTGGGGCATAGGAGAAGATGGAGGGGGTGGGGTTACAGAAAGGGGGAAATAATGTAGTTCTTTAAAATAAAAAGAAAGCTAACTTAGAATGTAGACAGAAAAACAGCAGGTGAACCTTCAACGTAAGAGTTAAACCTTCCGGAAGTTAAAAAAAAAATTAGGGGCCAGGCAACCTTAGAGGTCAGGTTTGTCAACTCTCAGAGCAGAACGGGACGGAGAGGCAAGCAAGTCTGGCCCGGAGATGGCTCGGCTGATACTAGACGGGCTCAGCCGCGAGCCTGTGTTTAACTGCGCAGAATCCGTGGAAACGTCAGGCACCTGAGCATGCCTGTGATCTAGCGCCGGGGAGGGTTGGGAGGTGCTCACTGCCCACCTGTCTAGCCGACTCTGGCTCTCAAGGGCCAGTGAGAGGTCCCGTCTCACAAACGTGGAGGGTAACTGAGAAAGACACGTAAAGTCTCGCTGGCTGTCCCTTCGGAGTGCGGCTTCCCGGTCATGAAGGCAAGGGGCCGTGAGGTGGAAGGCTGAGAATGATGGGGGAAATGTGCACAATCCCACAGAATCTAAAAATCGTCTCTCCACCCACTTTGTTCAGCTTTTGCACTAGAATGGTAAATCGTTAACTATTCGCAAGGTGTCAAAGGTTAAGATTTTACCGCCTGAGGGATCTAAAGGTCGCAGCCGCTGGAAGTCTGCCGAGGGGAATAATGACTTCGTAAAAATAAGGAACTTGGAATAAGTGTGTTACATCAATAGGGACAAGCTCGGCTCTAAAGAAGAATGACTTACGGACAGGGCTGGCAAGATGGCGATTGCAGCCTCGCCTGAGGTTCCGTTCCCAGGTCCAACACGGTGGAAGGAGAGGACTGACTAATTCAAGTTGCCCTTTGACACCCAGATGTGTGGCGCAGTGTGTATATGTGCGTGCATGCGCACGTATTCACGCACAGAGAAATGCGCATGTACACACAGAGGCACACACAAAAACCAGCACAAAAGAATAACGTAGAAGGGCGCCAGGGCTTGGTGCCGCTCGCTTTATTAGCATACTGTGTCATATGCTCTTACTCATCCCCAAACAGACGCCAACGCTCGGCTCCAAGGTCCACTTTATGGCAGCAGGGGAGAAGGAAACTCAGATAGGAAAGCCGAGGCAGTCGAGGGAGGGAAGTTGATCTCCAGATTTGAAAGTAATGTGGGTCAGGATAGAGCACAAATGCATATAGCCACAGAGACAGCTAGACGCACAGAGGCCGATAACGCAGAGAGAGACACAAATTCACCCATGTGCACCCCATTAGGGGGGCCCCAGCAGCTGCCTCTGCCCATGTGCTCCTCCTGGGGTAATTAGCCCCCCCAAGGCACAGAGGAGACACCAGCACAGATCCCTGAGGTCCCCCGTGGGTAATAAAGTAGGCCCAGATCGCAGAAACCTTCCCCATTTCTGTCCTTCGGTGCCGGCCCCTCCTCCCGGCAGCCCACGCTGCTGCCCCGGCACTGGCTTTAATGGCTTCAGTTGCTGAACTAGACTGTGTCTCCCCAGCCCTGAAGAGCCTGCACCAGGGGTGCCGCCAGCCAGCGGACGCTGCTGAATTGATGCTGTGTTCTTCTTGTCACACAGAGCATGAGATTGATTGGAAGGAACCAGCCGTGGTTGGATTGAACTGGGGCTCTGGGCCTCACCCAGAAAGGAGAAGATCCTCATTCAAGGCCGGGACAGACACATTCCTGCTTCAGTGTGGACTGCTGAGCCAGGGCTGGGGCATCCTGGTGACCTGTCCCTAATAGCACCCTTCCTATGCCATCCGTTCTGTGTTCTGCCCATCTGAGCTTGGGTCTCACAGGCCATATCTGAGCTCGGTTTCCAACCCCGCCTTGTGGGCTTTCATGAGGCTTCTAGGACGGGGGAGGGGACATAGCAACCCCAGTTTGAGTTTTATGGCTTCGGCCTCCAGCAATAGGCAGTAAGTCTCCATTTCTTTGTGACTTCTGTCCCCGGGAATAAGTCCCCTTTCCTCTGCTGCATAGTCCTTTGGGGGCATGCGGTAGTCAGTCTTTCTACAGAAGGCAGGAGGCTGGGCACCCACCCTTACCCCAGCCAATCAACAACTCAGTTATGCCCACTCTTCTGGGCAGAGACAAGGACCCTATCCCTACTAGAGGAAGGATGCTAGACAGCTTCAGACCAATAGAAAAAGGGGGGAAGGGAATTACCTGATGGGACACCCTGAACTCACATAAAAGCCCTTAGAGTCTGTGTTCCCCCCAGCTCTGAGTCCCCGTCTCTACCTGAGAAGTCTAACACCTGGCAAATAAACACTGTGCCCCTCACTGGGCTCCTCTCTTAAACCTTTAAGACCCTACTCAAAGCTGGCATCAAGCATGCGTGGCCCAAGCCTTCCTGGTTGTTTCCACCATAATGCCACAGGGTGGGGAGGGATCAAAGCCCACACAAAGAGTAGCGTCTGTAGAGATGTGGCAGCATAGAGAGAGAGAGAGAGAGAGAGAGAGAGAGAGAGAGGCTGCAGGGCTCTAACCATCTCTTCTGAGGTCCCAGCTTCCTGGTCAGCCTCAATGGGAGCTGAGTGATAGGGGTGGGCACGGCTGGCCTGCCTGGCCAGCTGGCTTTTTCATTGGTAGTCAAGGTTGTGGGCATTGGTGTTACTAGGAGCCCATCTGAGCCTCTGTTCACCTCCCCGGTTCTTGCAGCTTTATTGAACACATCCCGTGTTCTGGGTATGTGAACAAAAAGAGCAGATCCCTGCCCTGGTGTCACTACCCAGAGCAGAAGAGCAACAAAGAAACAGGTGAACAAGATGATTTATGAACCCGTGTGGTTCTCTGGAAGTAAGGTGGGCTGCTGAGCTGATGAGAGGGGGGAGGGGGACTTTGGTTGGGTCAGGGAAGGTCTCTTCAAGACTTGGGAGCTGAGAGCTGGAGGAGGAGCCCAGGTGCAGACAGCTGGAGGCTGGGAGTTCCAGAGAGAAGGAACAGGAGGGGAGTTTCCAGCTTGGGGCAGAGCTGGGGGGTGGGGTTGCTGTTTCCCCTGGACAGAAAGAGGACTGGTGGGTGAGGGAGACTGGGAGTGCGGGAGTTGAGTCTAGGAGCACGGATGGATCAAATCCAATTTATATTTCATAAAAGGGACTCTGGGTGCATTGTGCCAGTGGCCTGTGGAGAGCAAGGACACAGGTCGGGGGCAGGGAGAAGCCTCTGAGGCAGGAACTGGCAGGAGGGGTCAGATTTGACTGGCTGGGGGGTAAGGGTGGTAGCTTGGCCTTGTCTGTCTTGATGTAGGTCCTATTCTGTTTTAACATTAGCCTTCTGATGATGACTGATATTCTTGCCCGTCTGGGAGGTCAGGCGGCACGAACTATGACTGGAGGCTCCCCAGTCCCCCCCCCCCCCCCCCCGCCGCGACTCAGAAGGAAGTCAGGAAGCTGGGCCACTACCTGGTCACTTGTTAAAGGATACAGGCTAAATCTCATGCCCTCAATGTGGCCCCCGGTCCTCTCCGTGAACCAGGCAGGAAGGTGGTGATGCATCAGGGTGGGGTTCTGAGGACCACTGGAGTCAGAGGTCACCCTGTGCCGGGTGTGGGGGTGAAATAGAGGGGTGAGTGGTAGGGTTGCATCTGGAGAGCCCCTCTCGGCTGTTCCTTCCCATGCCTTCAAGTTCTGTTGGGCTAAACATTTACGAAGCACCTCCTGTCTACCAGATGCTTCCCCCTACCAAAGTTAACATGTTTCCAATTTCTAGGGGAAGCCAGCCCGAAGCCAGCCCCCCAATGCATAGGATATATGGATTTGGCTTTTTTCTTTCATCTCCCCCGTTTCTCCAGCTAAATCATTGGCTCCTGCTTCTGGCTTGTATTAGAGTTTGGTATGAGATGATAGTTGATTTAGCATGAAATTTTATGTGGCAGGATAATATATTGAGGTATTAATTTGTGTTCTGTTTTGCTACAAGAAAGGAATCAGGACAGATGGGGCTATCCGAAGCTTCCGCTCCATGCTGGATGCAGCTTGGAAAAAGGAAAAAGAGAGGCAGGACGGGTGCGGGATGTCTGCTTCCACAGGCGTTCAGTCACTGTCCATCTCTTTCTTTTCTCCTCTGTCAGGTTAGGTCCTGTCAGGGAGGAGGAGGTCACCCACAGCAGAGGTGTCCTGCCAGAGTCCTTCAGAGCCTGCTTTGTTGCTGGGAGCTGGGGACAGGGCTCAGTTTGCAGAATGTTTGCGCAAAGACCTGAGCTAGAGCCCCAGCAGCCATGCAGACGTGGGGTGTGGCAGCACACGCCTGGAATCCTGGTGCTGGGGAGGCGGAGACAGGAGGCTCCTGAGTTTGGCTTGGCAGCCCGTCTAGCCAACTGATGAACTCCAAGTTCAGTGAGAGACCCTGTCTTGAAAACCAGAGTGGCTAAGTGGCTTAGTCATTAAGAGCGTTTGTTGCTCTTTGCAGAGGACCTGAGTTCAGGTCCCAGAACCCACGTGGCATCTCACAAACATGGGTAACTCCAGTCTCAGGAGATGTGATGCCTTCTTTGGATCCCTGTGGCAGCAGACATACACATGCTACACACACACATACATACACACACACACACACACACACACACACACATGCACACACACACACACACACACACGCACACGCACACACACACATACACATACACATAAAATAAATATTTTTAAAAAACCCC